ACTCTGGTCCACTCCTGTAGGGCACTTTTGTCTGACACACTTCTATGGCACTCTTGTGGAGAGCTTCCGTCCACTCCTGTAGGAGACTCTTGCCGGACCCCCTTCTATGACACTGTTGTGTGAAACTGTGGTCTACTCTTGTAGGACACCCTTTTATCGATCTCTAGGTGGAAAACTCTGGTCCACTCCTGTAGGACACTCTTGTTGGACACACTTTGTGGAAAACTCTGGTCCACTCTTGTAGGACACTCTTGTCACACACCCTTGACATTCTTGTGGAAACAGAGGTGGCTGGCTGACTGTTTGACGTGGTGTTTGCACTTGCATGCCTGCCTTTGCGTGTCCACACATTGTAGGCTCAGGCCAGCAGTTGGATTTGTGTCTCTTCGCAGTTGGATGAGAGTTGCACCATGCACCATGCACTGCGTGAACCTTGGGCTTAGTGTCTCTTGTTGTTTGCAAGCTGCCTACGCTTGAGATGCCGAACGCTTCTCTTTAAAGGCATTCACTTGCTTGGACGTCATGATCGATAAATGCTTCCATGTTGGCGCAGGTCCTGACTCCAAGCAAGGATTTGAATCTTGCTCACTGGGCCAGCTGACCCAGGGCTCTGAGAGGATGTGCTGTAAGGCTTCTAGATGCCTGCCTGCTACCTGTTCTCCGATTGGTGCAGTATCTTGTAGCACCGGAGATCATAGACCTTCGATCAAGCCACGCACTGTGTTAGACAGTGTGATGTGAGACTTCTTCACTTGGGTCTCATGCTGTAGTATATCCTCCGCGAGTTTGAGAACCCTGCATCCGTGAGGATTCATAGCTGCTTCTGCGATTGTTTTTGGCGATGGGAGATGCCGGATCCATGGATTTGATCTCCTGGCTTTGGCTGTCCCGCAATGGACCCTGTTGCTAGCCACAGCTAGCATAGCCGCCGTAGGGCTTGGATGTCAGTACTGGGATCGGCGCATCGTAGATTTTCCCACTGTACTTGTCCTTCTGTATGCCACCTCTTTTGTCCGAGTGCGGCAGGACAACCAGCTGCAAGTAGTACACCAGCCTTGAGCTGCAAGGTGACTTGTGTTCCATCACTCAAGGACCTCATCGCCGAAACAAAAAGTGTCCGGCTTCTGCTCGCCTTGCTCACCTTGCTCACCTTGTCTTCGCACAAGAACTCGGACTCGGTGTTGCTGTCCTTGCTGACAGTTCGTCGCACAGTGATGAGCAGGCTTCGTCCATCTGAAGGTCCTGCTCCAGTTTCCGACAGGGACACATGTCCGACAGAGTGCCGTATATTAATTAAAATTAATCGCTTATACGCAGTTAGTGCATCAAAAATACCTTCCACGAAGTTCTGCGAAGGTTTCTGGGATTTCGTTGCAGTCAGTTCTCCTACTGGCCCACCATTCCACGAACTGTCCACGAACAGCCTTGGGTTCTACGAAGGTCACGCGCCTTCCACGACGTTAGTAGAATATAGGTTTTT